GATTATAACGCTGGTTTAAGAGCTCGCCAGTTTCCAAAAATATATTCTTAAAAATGCAAATTATCATGATAGGGTTTTTTGAAATCAGCCACAATACTTTTAAAATTGGGTGATGATTATTGACCTTTAAGCCCCTTTTACACAACCAAATTTTCTTTGACAAATTTTATTTGCCATATACATTTTGGCTGTGTAAATTAGAAATGTTCGACGAATATGTTTTGACAAAGGCGTTTGTCCGAAAGCTGGCTTGTTAGCTTTGCAGCAAAGAAAATGTGACAAACGGTAAAATTTGATCGTCTAAATGAACGTCAAAAAAATTGGCGAAAATTTAAAAACAAAAAAGCGGCAGTTCAAGGAGCCAGCCGTCCACATATCCGGCTGGATGCAGCGATTTATTTGCTTCATCAAGCTACTTTTTGGCTTTTCGCTTTGTATTTTTGTTTACAAATTAAAGTATGAAACATTGTGCAATATATGCGCGGAATATAATGCGCATACTTTTTTTGTTTACGCGGACTAGCGGATATGGAAGTGAGGGAACTCAGCAACTGGGCAAACAAAATATTTCAGTTGCTTACACGGTCAAAATATATGCCACTTGAGATTTGTCACAGAAAATAATAATTTCTTTTAAAATCCATTGTCGGTCTGTTAACATGAATATTATATCATTTTAATATATACCAATTGTCAAAGTTTGGCATTCGTAGCATTTCATTGGTCGAAATCGAATCACGAGAGAGTGACAAAATTTTGATATCGCTAGCGCGACCCCTTCATAGTGAGATATCACGTGTTATCTCATGCGAAATAACAACCTTAATCACGTGCGACGCACCTGGACGTGCGACCTTTGGACTGTTCATCCATTTGAAATTGTGTCTTTTATGAATAGTTTACCTTGTAGTTTGGTTTTTCTTTGACAAGTGGTATTTAATAAAAAACTTATTTACCGATAACTCAGAAAACATTATGTTTTGTGAACCCGAGACCATCGATATTTCACTCGGCTTCGCCTCGCTTCCCGAACGCCAGTGAGCGTAAAGTGGACTTTGAGGTATTGAAATGAGTCAATAACATGATTCTGGTGGTCGTGATATCATCCTAACAATGTCATGTGATTGTTTTGTTTCATGCTAAATCCGGATAGTCGGGCTCATGTGAACAGCTTATTAGCCTGCAGGCTTTTTTTAATTGCGAATATTTTAAATTTATTTAAATGACCTATGCCTCTGCATGGGTTTACTTTACTTTCCATTAGCACAAACAAAGACCGCTTATTATTACAGACGTTGCTCAACGTGGCAACTTTCGAAACCGCTTGGAATAAAAAAATAACGTGCAAACCAATCTTACTTTTCTGTTGTGAAGAATTTGGAAGGGTCACAAATTCAATAAGTGAGCAAGATCGTCGAAATGTAAGTATACATATGCACAATTCGCTCTTTTGTCTTTACACATTTGTTATTCAGTTAGTCTTTATGGCGTACACCTTTTGTAAACTATTAAATGTCAAATATCAACGAGAGTGTTTCTTTCAACTGTCTGATATTACTTCTTATTCAATGTAGCGTTATGGCAGTTGTACTGCAGGATTTCGGAAACGGCATTTTATTAATGGCAATAAGTCAATATTACTTCAATATCTGCCTGACTGAATATATTCAAGGGCTTTACCTAACAATGGTTTTTTAAAACATTTGTCTCTTTGAATAAGCGTTTATAAAGGAAGCATCGCATGTACGCCAGACCCTCTCTTTCTGCATATTTCAAAAAAGAAAATTAGGCGCACCAAAGGACATACGTATAGAGAGACCTGACAAAGTTTGCTTCATTCATGCCTGGTTACCCGAGATTTAACGAAGCGTAAGATGATTTTGAGGTATTGAAATAAGCCTAAAATATCTCCTCTCATTCAAATATGGAGAAAATTATCCGGCCGTGTTTCTCATCATCCTTCTTCCACGGCATATTTCAGTGTGTTAAAAACATGAATAACTTCGAAAAAAATCAGTAACAAAAGATGCCATGGCAAAAAATTGTTGTTGCAAGTAGGAGCTTTGCCTCCCTTTGAACAGTAGTTTAACAGTTTGAACAGGTCATCATCAGCTCATCAAGATGTACGTATCGTTTTTTCAAGCTAAATTTCTCTTCCTGAACATTTTGTAGGATAACCAAAACAATCATAATTTCTCTCCTCCTGGTCATTGTTTGTGTCATATCAGGTCATGGAAAATCATTGCAAACTGGTAGAAAACGTTATTTCATGCTGCCGCCTGGAATCCCGTCTGGAAAACGTTCTTTAATGGACACGGGTTCCCCTCGTGGTGGTGAGGGGTTAGGAAAACGTGGTTTTAGGGTGCCGCCTCCAATCCCTCCTGGAAAACGAAGCTCAGTGCTGTGGCCACCTGATGGAAAACGTTTCCCAGTGCAGAGGGATAGGCCACCTGCTGGAAAACGTAGCCAAGTGGTGAGGCTACCTGATGGAAAACGTAGCTTACTGGGCCACCTTCTGGAAAACGTTAGCTCAGTTTAATGATATAAATTTTACCGCTTTTTACAATGATTTATAGAAACATCGTCATTATCAATGACTATAAACACTACAATAATTAATCTTCTAGCACAACGTCTTGCACTATTGAACTTGTTGCTGATATAACGACAAGAGACGCATGTTATCATGAAATTGTATTTACTTTTGTAATGTTGAACGCAAAATAACAACATTTTCATAATCATCATCAAACACGGAGCACTGTTATTATGTCCATTACTGATCATTGGGAGTGGGGACGGTAGCTGACGTTACATTAATCCAACCTCTCTACTCTTTTATATGAACTGTTTTACCTTAAACTATGATCATTTTATTTCATTAGCCTCCATCGCGCGAGATTCAACCAGCCAGGCTTGAATTGTTGTTGAATTCAATAGTCATGTACTGTTACTTTTTATTCGTAACAAGGACCCCAAAAGATATATTCCTGGGGCCGGTTGTATCAAGCCCGTTTAGGTTAAACGGTGGATTAGTCAAAATTGAATAACACTCGACGTACATCTGTCTTGAATGAGTCAACTTGAATATTATGCATTGAATATGCAGTTGTAAACGGTATCTTTGTATTAAAGTTAAAAACATTTGGTTTGCTTCTTGAATAAAACGATAGACTTGTTTGTATTTTGAACTTATCCACAGTTTAAGCTATAGTAAACGGTTTTGATACAACCGGCCCCTCGACCGTTAACCGTAAAAGTGCAAGTTGTCCACCTATTACGTTCTAATACCGAGACACTACTCGCGAGTGGAGTTAAGATCACAGCGTTTCCATACAATGGTAATTTATATGTGCTTACCATCAATAAAAGTTCGATAGCGCTATCAACCGGATAGCTATTTTTTAACCGTTGCAAACATGCCTGGAAAACTAGAATACTATAGATTAAGATTTAATTAATCTACGTTATATTAACCACGGGCGATTTCAGTTGTAGAAACCAGTATCCGATGGATTGCGCTATCCTGCTTTCGTGCAACTAAGCTCAGAGAGTTAGATTCTTGTAAAGAGTTTAAACTAACGAATGATTATAAATAGAATTTTAGAATATATTGCAGACATTCTGTCTTTGGTCTGTAAATGGAAACAAGTTAATCGACACGGATTCTTTAAAATCCTTTGCAAAAAAAAATAAAGAATAAAGTGTAGATGAATTTTTACTAGCGCTATGATTTTACCCAATACATCGTAGTTTATTTGGAAGGCAACGTTATCAAACTTCAAAGCATTGGCTGCCTAAATAAGTTGAATTAATAATAAAACGCCAGGACACTGTCCTTCTCGTTAAAAATCTAAAAGAATAATGATTTTATCTTATGACTTTATCTTGCAGATATAGATCTAATGCGACTATTAACAGAATTATTATATTCAAAGATCCTTTATTGGACCCTTTCTCTATCTCTTGCAATATTCCAGGATCACTTAGCTACAGAAATTTTGTCTCATTGTATACGTATATGTTTAATGATTGGAAACTAAGACTACTTTTTATTGCAGAAATTTATCGGCCTATATAGCGAGGCCTATAAAACCACTTGCATGGAATAAAGATAACGTGCACACCGAGCTAGCTTACTGCTGTGTTGTCTTTCAGAAAGAAGGATCGTCGAAAAGTAAGTACGTACAGTTCGTTTATACTTATATTGATATATTTATTCGTATAGCAGTGTTTCTCAACTAAAGTGTCTCATTAACTTGTTAAATTTCAGATTCAATAAATCGTGTGACTGTTGTACTAACAGATTACAAATGGCAATAAATTATTGGTTTAATATCAACCTTGTTGTGTACATTCAATAAATAAATACTAACTTTAATTAATATATTAAAACATCTGTTTCTGAAAGTTCAGTGCATGGGTATCCAAAGGAATCGCCCATTCTACGCTGAGCTAACTGTTTTTAGTTTAACTTTACGACTCAAGAATTCAAAATGATAATCAAGCTTACCATGCAAATGACTTTACTTGAGTTAAAAGACTTTACAACAATGATTCTCATGTTTCATTGAAAATTGCGTTGGAACCACTTGAAACATACTATTTCTGGTGTATAATTACGTCATTGTTGTCATAGTGAAACGTTTCAGGCTTTTTCTTCTTTGTGTTCTACTATTAGCTACACATCATCCCAAAACTCTCTCATTATCTCAAATTAGAAAATTAAATTAAAATTAGAACCCTTGATTAAAGAGTTTCATAATGCAAAAACAATATAAATAATCTGTACTACGCTTTCGTCTCGACGTAAAGCTCCTAGGAGATTAGGTAGAATTATAAATTCAGATGGATATTAAAATTACTCTGTCATGTCATCAACACATGAATATGTAATGTATCTTCCGTTATATTGTCTTATTTTCCCCTCCGATCTTTATAGGATGATTAGGATCAGCAAAGCATATTCAATTTTCCTTTTTCTGGTCGTTGTTTGTGCGATGCCAGGTACTAAAAGATCATTCGAACATGCGGAGATGCACTCCGAAGCGCAACCTCCACAAGAAAGTCAGGAGATACTTCCTGATGAGGAACGTGTTCTGATGCGTCTGGCTCCCAGACTTCACAGAGTCCGTGCCACAACGGACCAGTATTCATTCGCGGGGGCTGAGGATAATTTAAAACGTAACTTTTTGAAAAAGCCACTTTCTCCTGGAATACACAGTCCATTAAACAATGCACCTCCTCCAGTACTACGTAACTCATTGAATAATCCACTTCCTCCTGGAATACGTAACTCATTGGACAATCCACTTTTTCCTGGAAAACGTAACTCGTTGAACAATCCACTTCCAACTGGAGAACGTAACTCATTGAACAACCCACTTCCTCCTGGAATACGTAACTCATTGGACAATCCACTTCCTCCTGGAGTACGTAACTCATTGAACAATCCACTTCCTCCTGGAAAACGTAACTCATTGAACAACCCACTTCCTCCTGGAAAACGTAACTCATTGGACAACCCACTTCCTCCTGGAAAACGTAACTCATTGGACAACCCACTTCCTCCTGGAAAACGTAGCTCATTGAACAATCCACTTCCTCCTGGAATACGTAACTCATTGAACAATCCACTTCCTCCTGGAATACACAGTCCATTGAACAATCCACTTCCTCCTGGAAAACGTAACTCATTGAGCAACCCACTTCCTCCTGGAGTACGTAACTCATTGAACAATCCACTTCCTCCTGGAAAACGTAACTCATTGAGCAACCCACTTCCTCCTGGAAAACGTAACTCATTGAACAACCCACTTCCTCCTGGAAAACGTAACTCATTGGACAATCCACTTCCTCCTGGAAAACGTAACTCATTGGACAATTCACTTCCTCCTGGAAAACGTAATTCATTGGACAACCCACTTCCTCCTGGAAAACGTAGTTCATTGAACAATCCACTTCCTCCTGGAAAACGTAGCTCATTGAACAATCCACTTCCTCCTGGAATACGTAACTCATTGGACAACCCACTTCCTCCTGGAAAACGTAACTCATTGAACAATCCACTTCCTCCTGGAAAACGTAGCTCATTGAACAATCCACTTCCTCCTGGAATACGTAGCTCATTTAAAATCCGACTTCCTCCTGGAATGAGTAGCTCATTGAAAAATCCACTCCCTCCCGGAAAACGTAACTCATTGAACAACCCACTTCCTCCTGGAATACACAGTCCATTGAACAATCCACTTCCTCCTGGAATACGTAACTCATTGAACAATCCACTTCCTCCTGGAAAACGTAACTCATTGAACAATCCACTTCCAACTGAAACCCGTAACTCATTGAACAATCCACTTCCTCCTGGAAAACGAAACTTATTGAACGATCCACTGCCTCTTGGGAAACGTAACTCATTGGGCGATCAACTTCCTCCTGGAAAACGTAACTCATTCAACAATCCACTTCCTCCTGGGGAACGTAACTCATTGAACAATCCACTTCCTCCTGAAAAATAACTCATTGAACAATCCACTTCCTCCTGGAATACACAGTCCATTGAACAATCCACTTCCTCCTGGAATACACAGTCCATTGAACAATCCACTTCCTCCTAAGAAACGTAACTCAGTGTAATGATTTAAATTTAATATACCGCTTTATATGGTATTATTATTATTACCATTAGAAATACCATTACTGAAATGTTATGAGTTAAGATGTTGTATTAACACTGCTAAATTATTTTAATTGTTTAGCACACTCATGCCATGTATTTAAGATATTGTTTTTACTCGTAGAGTTGAATCGTAGTGTATGATTTGCGAAGATACAACTCGTGTTTGTTGTATTTGCGAAGAGCCGTCATCCACATCGCTGCCTTAGGCCACAGAAAATACGTTAAATAAATAGTTGATTAACGTAAATCAGTTCCCAGGTAGATTTAATTTTGTGTGCACATTATTTGATTTAAATAAGAATATTTTCATGGGTAAGTTTGTGCATACAGTTAGTGAATGTAAAAATTTGGGTGAGATTTGGCAACTTTATAAAAGGATGTACATGACATTGTATATCATCGGCTTGTGCACAGTTGCAGAGTCCTGATGGAGAGATGGAGAATACTTAAAGGTCATAAAAATATAGGAAACAATTTTTGTGAATTTTAAATAACTACTGGATACATAGATGCATCCATGCATACTATCGAACTCTAAGAACAAAATTTCCACGCAGGAAGAGCAAAATTAAGCCTCGCATACTCATAAGTGTCCATGTTATAAATGGAATTTTATAGATTTATGTCCCAGATTGTAAAGTGTATGGCTGTGAAACTTTAAAATGCGACTAAGAGAATCTTAATTTATTTCCAGACCGCGGATATTCTTCTAGTACTCTAGTAGCTAAAGTACTTATTCAAAGACAATTTCTAGTAGCTAAAGTACTTATTCAAAGACAATTTCTAGTAGCTAAAGTACTTATTCAAAGACAATTTCTAGTAGCTAAAGTACTTATTCAAAGACAATTTCTAGTAGCTAAAGTACTTATTCAAAGACAATTTGTAGTAGCTAAAGTACTTATTCAAAGTACTTATTCAAGACTTTTCTAGACACTTTCTCTTGTTAATTAATGTATTTCTATATCATATATTTTTGTCAAATGGCTGGGAGGGTTTTCATCCAATGAGAATGCTTTCAGGTTAAGCACTCGCAATAACTGGAGAAGGGTCATAAAAATATAGGGAACAATATTTAATTTGTGATGTTTAAATAACTACTGCATACATACATACATGCATTCATGCATATTATCGAACTCTAAGAAGAAAATTCCCACGCAGGAAGAGCAAAATTAAGCCTGGCATACTCATAAGTGTACATTCTGACTTATTTTCATTAAAAATACAAGCAACAAGGTTGTTGCATGTATATGTTTCTTTAGTAAATTGCACATAAATTGTATATATATATATATATATATATATATATATATATATATATATATATATATAATATATATATTATATATTAATATATATATATATATATATATATAACAAATGATGAGTTGAATTAGGGAAAGTTTTAGAAATTTTAATATTGTCAATAATTGTCAGTAATTTAATAATTAAATAATCACGCGAAAGGAATACTAAAATATTTTGATAACAAGACTTGAGATTTAAAGAGACTTTTCTAGACACTTTTTCTTGTTAATTAATGTATTTCTATATCATATTTTCGCCAACTGGCTGCGAGGGTTTTCAACCAACGAGAATGCTTTAAAGGTTAAGCACTCGCGATAAGTTGAAAAAGGGTCATAAAAATATTGGAAATAATATTTTGTGAAATGAACACTTATGCAAAAACATGCCCATGCACATTGCTTAACCCGCTGGTTTTTTAATTGCGAAATTTTTAAAATTTATTTGAATGCGCTATTCCTCTGCAAGGGTTTATTAGATTATCACAAGCAGAGACCGCTTATTATTACAGACGTCGCTCAACGTGGCAACTTTCGAAACCGCTTGGAATAAAAAAATAACGTGTAAACCAATCTTATTTTTCTGTTGTGAAGAATTTTGAAGGGTCACAAATTCAATAAGTAAGCAAGATCATCGAAATGTAAGTACAACTGCACAATTCGCTCTTTTGTCTGTACACATTTGTTAATCAGTTAGTCCTTATGGCATACACCTTTTTCAAACTATCAAATGTCAAATATCACCGAAAGTGTTTATTCAACCGCCTGAATTACCTCTTATTCAATAAGCTTAATGCATGGCAGTTGTAGTGCAGGATTTCGCAAAGGGCATTATTTTTATCATTAATGGCAATAAGTAGATATTACTTCAATGTCTGCCTGACTGAGTATATTCAAAGGCTTTACCTAACAATGGATTTTTAATACATTTGTCTCTTGAATAACGTTTATAAAAGAAGCATGCATCGTTCTGTACGCAAGACCCTCTCTTTCTCGACATTTTGAAAACGAAAATTAAGCGCACCAAATGACATACGTATAGAAATACCTCACAAATTTTACTAAGGGGCTGTTCACCGATTACCCGAGATTTAACGAAGCGTAACATGATTTTGAGGAATTGAAATAAGTCGTTTTGAAACAAAACTAGCTCATACTATTGTTAGGATTAGTACACGACTACCAGAATCATCTTATTTACTGATTTCAATACCTCAAAGCCATTAAATTCTTTGTTAAATCTCGCAGGTAACCGGGCTCATGTGAACATCCCCTAAAGCGAACCGGGGGGAGAGACTTTGAGGGGAGGAAGGGGGGGATTATCACACAACTATTCTAAAATACATTGTGGAAATAAACGGAAACGCTGTTATGCGTTGTATTTCTTATAATTATATATTAAATTGTTCGTTTGTTCGAACTCGCGTATAAAGCATTATAATATAATTTTTTTATAAGTCAGTTTAACGCTGTATACACTGGCGGTCAAAAAGAACTGCTCAAATTTTGCTGTTATCGTTTGTAACAAGAATCGTGACAATCAATCTTTTATTGTACACTAGCGGTCAAAAAGAACTGTTTAGATACAAATTCATAAAAAAAGAAGGGAATATAGGAGAGAGCTTCATAGGCATTTTGGATAATTCTCTCATTCCAAGCAATATTTCAATAATATTTTGCAACCTGTCACCCTTCCAAGATAGTCAAACAATGGTTTCAGGAGAGGCAGTGACAGAAATGTATTGGCGTACACACTAAAAAGACCTTAATTAACTCTATTGAAAATCTGTGGAACAATGTCAAGGGGATAGTGCAAGAAAGGAATTAATTCATAAAGCGTCCATGATTCATGGGTTGCTGTAAAGATTGTCCATAGGATGAATTTTTCTTACCGCTCACGATTACCACCTTAACAAAAAAGTATGCCACGCCGATGTAAGGCCGTCGTCAATTATAAGGCCAACGAAGGGTTAACAAAATATTAATATTTCATATAGCTTAGCAAGTAATCTAGTCTATATTTACTCGTATATATTGTTAGAGGGACAGTTACGTTCACATTACCAGAAATTTGCGACATGATAATTTGCATGTATACTAATTTGCATTTAACTTTCAGCATAATGGCCTTCAACTTTCACTATAAAATACATATAGTAAATATACAAAACCCAAAAATGCCGTTGACCTAGATCTTGCCCACTGTTTGCCGACCTCTGGATCAATAGAACAGCCGTTTCCCAACGTTTTAATGATCGAATTACTTTCCTTAGGTATTTCTACGTTCGGCCAAATGATTGTGAACAAATGTGTATATAGCCTTCGTATTGTTCAAGTTCCAGACAAGACTGATAATATTTTTTAAAGTGATTGCAGTAAAAATCCGAGCCGTATAGAAAAGTTTATACACAAATACGAAAGAGAATATCTTAAACAATTTTTTTGGGTACATTATACGTCAATTCATCAACTACCTGAATCGAAATATTCGAATCAATATGAGCGATTTTATAAGTTCGTGGACAGCACACGGACAAAACTTTGAGCAATATATTTTTAAATTTGGCCGAATGCAGAAATGCCCAAGCTAAAAAATCCTGTCACCAAAACGTTTCTAAACAGCTGCTCTACCGATCTAGAGGTCGGCAAACAGTGGGCAAGGTCTAGGGCAAGGGCATTTTTAAGTTTTGTCTATTTACTATATGTATTTTATAGTAAAAGTTGAAGGCCATTATACTGAAAGTTAAATGCAAATTAGTATACAAGCAAATTATCATGTCGCAAATTTCTGGTAATGACTTCACTGGCGTAGCCAGCATCGATAATTGGGGGGGTCCATATTCATATATTCATGTAAACAGACTGTAAAGACAATTGATTTGAAAAGAAATTAATCCTGCGTATCACGAATATATGAATATGGACCCCCCCAATTATCGTTCTGGCTACGCCGTTGGTTCACTTGAGAGCGTTTTAACTTGTTTTGAGCAGTTCTTTTTGACCGCCAGTGTATTTATAACATTCTGTTCAAATGGCACACATATTTACATGCATGGATTCCACCTCCTATTTCCAAGGACAAGGACAATCAAAGAGATTATAACGCTGGTTTATGAACTCCCAGTATCCAAAAATATATTACTGAAGATGCAAATTAAAATAAAGTTTATTTGAAATCTGCCACAATACTTTTAAAATTGGGTTATGATTGTTGAGCTTATTTATCATTAAGAAAAATTTGAGATTTATTTACTGACAAAATTTTACCATGAGCCTATGCAACTATCAACAATTGTGAGCTTAAGAAAGTGACGTAACGACGAGTGATTAACGTCAAAAGACTGGGTCAAGGATTTTGATTGGTGGAAAACAAAAAAACTGTACTTGCGTTCAACGTATGAGTTGTCAAAAACGCCACTTGCTTTAAGCTCACTAATGTTTTGAAGTAAATTTCTCGGCCATTTTCACTGAAGTGAATGCAAAAGTAGTTTCGATTCAAATGTGTTTACCCTCAGAAGTCTCTTCATTTTTGCAT